GGGGCAGGAGCCCCCCGGCCTCCATGCAGCCCCCTAAATCCACCGCAGGATAAGCCAGTTCTCAATGATTGCCACCAAGGTGGTCGATTGTAACGCGCGATGCCGACCGCGCGTCGTCCTCTACCATCGGCCTCACCGTTGTTTGCGTGACGCGCATCCTCCGCATCCACCCCACTGGCGTGCCGACGATTCCGATTGTGCCTCCTGACTTCCGAGCGCAGGGGAGCATCTGGCCGCGCGATCTGGCGGTGTTACGCTCTCGCGGGGCTTGACCGCGGTCAAGATCGACACGTACACCAAGGTACACCAACGTACAGTCCGCTTCACCGCTCTCGCGAGATCGCGATTCGATATAACTCTGTATAAACTCTGGTTTCACCAAGTAAGACTGTCTTCTCTTCCCTTGTCTCTCGTAGGCACTTGTTGCGACGGAAAAATACCGCGGATGCTCCCGCTGCTGTTTCGCGAAACGGAGATTCCTCGCGCGCGCGCGCACGTACATAAACGGCGCGGAGCGCGCCAACTTCAGAGCTAACGTAATGCGATGTCACCGGCGCGGCGCGCGCGGCATCGACGCGACGGACTCGTCATCAATGAACACGGTCGCGTTCCGCCTTTTGTTTCCCGATCCACGTGACCGCGCGCGCGATAATGCGCGCGTCGTCGCACGGCCTGCTTTCTCTTTCTCTCTCCCTTCGGTCTACTCTTCCCTGTAGATATCAAAACACCGCACGATTACGACGATCCCCGCACATTTCGTACGCGACTACTGCACAGTCACATTAATAGTTACGTCTAGAGCGTTCACGGTTCACGATTAATCCAAAAAAAAAAAAAAAAAAACACTTGGTAGGTAGATTAGACTCACCGGGGTGAAAACGTCCAACAGTCCCGATACGAGGGCGAGTAACGCAAGAGCGGCGGAGAGCCCGTCTCTGGCAAGACGGGTCACGGGGTTCGCGAGTGTCACTCTCGGGAACGCGCGCAACGGAAGATTCGACGACGGTGGGACGGAAGGTTCGCCGCGCGCGACTAACTTGACGATAAGAGCCCGCTCGAGTCCTTTCTCTCGCGCGCTCCTTCTCTCTCCATCTTACGAACGCGTGCTGTCCTCCTCGCGCTCTCTCTCATTCTCTCTCCGTCTCGTTCCGCCTCACGCTTCCTCGCGTTACTCTCGTCGCGGCGATGCCGAGTGGAAGGGGGAACAGAACCGCGACACACACAAGCGACTTTCGCGGTTTCACAATCAGGTACCTCCTTCACCCGCGGTGGCCGTCCGCGCGCGGCACCAATCTCTCTCTCTCTCTCTCTCCTTCTCGACACGAAAATACGTCCCTGACGGAGACAGTTCATACACACCGTATATACTTATACCGAGTCTCTCCGCGATTGATTGCGTTTAACGTCGAATGATCGTCGTCGGTCGGAAGGGAACACACTGGGTAAACGTCGACACGACGCTGGGTATTTACGGCGAATTTGCCCGGTGCGTCGCGAGCGCGCTGGACGTCACAACAGGTAGTTGAGCGAGGGCAGCGTGCTGCCGCTTGTCTGGAGAAAGAGAAGAAAAGAGAGCGGGTGGGAGCGAGAGGTCGTCAAACGGCACACCGGTGCGCGGAAGGGAGACGCCGGACGGACCGAGAGACCGAGACGAGGGAACACGCGTCGGCGATGCTCGGCGACGCGGCGACGAGGGGACCGGGGGACCAAGGGACGGAAGGCGTGCGCGCGAGCCAAGGAGAGAGAGGGGCGGGAGCCACGGTGGGAGAAAGGGAAGAGTGCTTTCAACGCTCGGCACGAGTTCCTCAGAGTTCCTCAGAGTTCCTCTTGCGCGCATTCGCCGGAGTCTCCGACAGTCTCCGAGTTCACCATTCACTCGCGCGCGCGCGCGCGCGCGATCGCGACAACAAATTCGTCTCTTTCTCTCCGACAATTTAAAATCTTCTTTCCCGCGCGTCTTTGCACTTTATCGTCGTGTCTTTCCTCTCGCACTTAAAGTCTCGCGTCTTTCTTGATGAAGGTAACTATCTCGAGATCGCTCCGATTTCCAACGTTTCGGTACGAAGATCGCCGCGCACGTCCGCGGAAGACGCTTCGCGATTAAACGGTTCTCGAACGCGCGAACGATCTGACGTTGGACGAGTTGGGTCCGATCCGCGCGCAACTTCAACTCGATGCGCAACGCGACTGGACCGCGCGCGGCGCGCAGACGTTCGTTCACTGCGCCGACACTCCGGGACTCGACCCGGTTTGACCGTTGCGAATGACATGAATCACATGTCATCGAGCGTCGGCATCGAGCGCGCGTACGATCGTATCAAACAATTGCATAACCTCACTTTCCTTCGATTCGCGCATACATTCACGCACGCGCGCCCGCGCGCGCGCACGCATACGATATTACGATCGCGCGTCCCGTCCGCTCTATCGCGGCGTGGCGACGATTCTTCTTTACCTTTCTCTCTCTCTCTCTTACTGTCTTTCTCTCGCTCTGTTACTCTCCGCTTCCTCGTCTCTCTGTCACACGGATGCTCGCGCGCGATCGCACCCGGCGACGAAACGTCAGGCGCCTAATCGGATCGGCTCCTAGCGAGCGCACGATCACGATGCCATTAACTGAACTGCGCGTAGGGCAGAACGGGACGAACATGCATCCCGTTCAAACGGCGAACCGTAATTACTGCCGCCGCGACGCGGCCGCGCTCCGGTGGCGACGCGAGAAACCGTCAGAAACCGTCGACCTCCGATCGGCTTCGTCCAACGTGGCGACTGTGGCGTCAACGTTCGGCGAACATCGGTACTACTATGGATACCACGAGTGCCACACTGCCGGTGCCGGTGCGTCGATCATGGTCGTCGTGGTGGGTAGATTCGCGATTCGCGTCAAGAACGGCTCCGAAAGATTCGTGCTCCGTTATCGAGAACGGAACGTATACACATACGTTATAAGAAACTCGAAGAGACTCGCGGGCTTTTCCAGACTATTTTCCACATTTATGACTTGCGATTAGTGAGTGCTACACCGACGAGGAGAGAAAGCACGAACCGGCATGCGACGATGCGACTAGTTGTTTCTCGAACGTTCGTCCGGTATGAAGTACGACTCGATTGAGACTACCAGGCGTAATCGTTTTTAGGAAAGATCGAGTGTTGTAGAGAAACAAGTACAAACTTCTGTCGATCGAGGATCTTCAAAACCTATCAAAATCTTGTGCACGTGGCAAATGTGATAAGCTCAATTACGGTACTGCACGTTTTGGTTGACGGATTTACTCCGATTTACTTCCTCCGAATTTTTGCCAGAATAAAGTCAAATTTTGTCCTTATAAATCTATAAAAACATATTGTAAAAAAAATTTTGGAATGCTCTGAATTAAAATTTAAACTATTCTGGTTGAAGCAAGTGTTTTGCCTAGCAAAATGAGATTCGACATTTAATTGCTTTCCATTTACACCTAAATCCAGATAATTCCTGATGATTCTCTATTGAATATATATACTTTCCTTTTTTTGACACAAGTGAGATTTAACTGAGTTTTTACAATTTGCACAAACTCAAGACTGCGTGTTTTACTGAACTTTATTAATTCACATCAAAAGGGAGGTTAGGTTGTAAACCTATGTTGTCAGTTGTTATGCGATAATTGTCACCATAGTAAACAAGAATAAGTAAAATTTTATTCCTAGCAATTAAATTATTTATTTTATTTTTTACGGTTAATAAAACATATTTCACAATAACGTATATTTCGTCATCAGTCTAATTTTTTTACACAATAAATACCAAAGAAGGCGTCACTATGACATTTACTTGCAAATATTTTATATAATTTAAATAAACTTGCACAAACAGTTGCAGATTGCAATATTCAAATACTCTTTAAAATTATATTTCAGATATCTACTGGATGGCTTTAGAAGGAAAAGCAATGGCTTTGGGTGGAACAAGACTTAAAACTAGACTTCCGATAATACCAGGCACGAGACCTTCGTTACGAAATTCACAGTTGCTTATTTCAACAGGGATACCTTCTTTAGACAGTACAATAGGCGGAGGTTTACCTATTGGCTCGATATTTTTAATTGGTATGTATATTTATATACTTATGTTTCTTTAACTGGCAATGGCTGAATCATTTCAAGACTTGTTGAATATTGTAATTAGTTTTGGAGAATTACTTATACATCTTTTTTTGCAAGAGTGTAAAAAACTGATCTAAAACTGATGCTTTTTTATTACTAGTTTATGAACTGTATTAACTATATGTATTATATACACAGAATGACCTTTTGACTTTTTAATAGGATATGGCTCAATAATTATCCAGCCTCCAAAGGATGTATCTTCCCTTCTTTTGAAGGATTAAATATTAATAACACTACACACATATACATACATACACTACCACTTATAATTATTCAACAGATATTTTGTATTTTACTCTGATTTTAAAAGCTAAGTAAGTTGTGTGTCTCACTGTTGTTAACACAGATAATATTTTATTAAAATGATTGTATCAAAATGATTGCTATTTTTGTTAATTGTAATTGTAAGTTTAAATAGTCTAAACTTCGATTTGTAGTCTAAATTTAAATTATTAAGACAATGTTAACGAAATTTCATCTCTGATTATTCTTGAATTGATATTGGATATTTCCTATTTTATTTTTCTGCTACAACCTATTATAATTATGAATAAAAATAATCCATAATTACAATAGATTGTAATAGAACAATGAAACGATGAGAAATATTCAGTATAATATCGATTCAAGGATATCTTGAAGATAGTTTTATAAATGTTATCTTAATAATTTGAATTTCGAATATTACAACCAATGTGTACAGCATAAATAACGCTAATTATTCTAATAAAGTATTATTTATGTTAACAACAATATAGGAGCTAGAGCGAGGGAGAGAGAGAGAGAGAGAGAGAGAGAGAGACTCATTTAGCTTTCAAAATTGGAGCAAAAAATGTAAAATATCTATCGTTCAAATAACTATAAGCAGTAGTATATATTTAACTCCTTCAGACCTAATTTTATGGAATCATGTTAAAAATTTTCTTTTTTAAATTCAATTTATACGCACTTTAATAAATTATTCATTCTAAACAAATAATTTTTTTAATTTGACTATTTTTTCAACATATACGTTATTATGTATATCAGATTTCAGATAATGTAGAATTAAATAATTTCAACGGATAATATCTTTAAATTTGATATACATTACAATGTGCGCAGGGATTCTGAAGGGGTTAACAAAACGTTTATTTATGTATATGTTTAAAGAAATCTTTCTTTTCAGAGGAGGACAAGTATGGCTTCTATGCTAAAACTATATTGAAATACTTTATGGCAGAGGGAATAGTCATATCTCAACCTGTACTGATTGCGTCTCAAGATGTTCAACCTTCCCACCTTGTATCAGGATTGCCCGCAGTTATAGATAATTCAGAGGAACATACGAAAACTACAAATAATGAAGATGAACCAATGAAAATAGCTTGGCGATATCAAAAAATGAAAGTAGTGGATTCATCTCCTACGGGAGGTCAAATATTCGGTCATTATTATGATCTCACAAAGCAGATGCAAACGGATTTCTTAGAACATGCTGACATAAAACAATGGGAATTTAATGAGGAAATGACACTAGATAAAAATAGTAGTCATACATTTAAGAACGCTGCATATACTGACTTATTATGTACTATAGAAAAAACTTTACGTGATGGACAATATTTTCTCTCTGAAACATCTGAACAGAAAACAAAGAAAATTTTAAGAATCACAATTCATTCTCTGGGATCAAGATTATGGCTTAGTGACACAGAGAAATATTCTGATAGTGATCTATTAAAATTCCTATATTGCTTCAGAGCACTTTTAAGGAATTCCTATGCAGTCGGCATAGTAACAGTACCAGTTAATAATTTCAATAGCGTAAGTATCGAAAAATTATTCCCTTTACAACGACCAACCTTCTTACAGCCTACATTTTCTAGAATTTCGCTATCGAAAGAATTGAGCACGTATCGGATATAGCAATAAGATTGGAATCGTTTGCGGGATCTGCAAAAGCGCTTAATCCATTGTATAAGGAGTATCATGGTCTGTTGCATATTAAGAAATTGTGTGCATTAAATGGTTTATCACACGGCAATTCACAACACAGAGATTTAGCATTTAAATTACGCCGTAAAAAGTTTCTTATAGAAGTTAGTAGATTTTGATGTTTTGTTTTATTTCTCAAATTAGTATATTGTGTCATATAAATTTTTATATTATTTGTTTGTTTTTAGGTTTTACATTTGCCACCCGAGTTCGAAGATACGTCTCAACGAGAGCAAGATGACACAGTAACATCCGGCATTGGATGCATGAGTGGATCTCATAAAAGTACACTTGATTTTTAGATTTATAAATTTTAAATTATTAAAAATTATTAAATATGATAACTTTTTAATGTAAATTTTTTATTAACAAAATTAAATATTTATTTTGTTAAAAATTTTCAATTATTAATCCTTACACTCTTCATATATATTTGCCTTCTCCTTCATAAGATATTCTAAATCCACTACTTCTCAAGATATATTATAGTTTGTGATTTCACTTCTTAACAAACAAGTGTTAAACCAGAATTTTTACGTACGTTTAGGTCACGCCTATCCCGTTTAACGGGAAGTGCATGGTGTGGCGGCTGAATTAATGTAGAGAAGAGGAGATAGGCTTCGTGAACACTTACAATAATGCGCATAAAATATCCTTTTACTGAGCTGCGCTGTATATGGGCTCAACCTACAAGTTTATTTACACCGTAGAAATACAATTTTTGATGGGAAAATCCTATGAGTATGGAATCTCCAGATTAATCCTTTAATGTATGTATAATTAATCTAAATAAGAGAAACAAAATTTTTATAATAGTATTCTAACGTTTCTTGATAAATTAAAAATACTTGTTTCTAATTATACATTATTTAATATTTGTAATTTATAATTACAAATAAATATTTTTATAAAAGAATTCGAATAAGGAACTTTAATACATGACACAATGTTAATATTTAGCTGAAACGTTAAACAGTAATTTATAAATTTAAATAAAAATTAACATGTGTGCTAAAGCATGAAATGGTCTTATCAACCATTAAATGGTCCCCCTTTACCGTGAACCTTTGCCGACTCGAATCGTATACGAACCGATCGACGACGAAAATGTCCATGTATGCATATGTGTATGTTGTGTGTGTGTATAAATTTTTCGTTCCCCCTCTGGTCTTTTTCCATCCACGCCTTTCTATTTCCTTCCGGTTCCGTCCGGTCGGTCGCGCATGAGGGCACGCAAGCGCGCCTACAGACCCCCGATGCTGTTGTAAAGTCCATCCACCGCGTACGGGGGTTTTCAGTCCGTAAACATACGCGATCGGGTTCACCTCGAACTATCTAGTTGTAATATTGTACATAGTGTAACTTGCGTCATCAGATGATTTAATCGTGCGTTTATTATGTGCGCCGAATGCAATCGTTGAAACTTTATGTGACCAAAAGTCATCTGCATATCGCTCATTATTATTAAGAAACAAGCGTTTTGGACGTAACAATGGGAACTAGAAAATTAGGCATATCGCGTGCTTTTGTTTGTTGCTCGAATATAATTTTCTTGGTGAGTTATTTGGCTATTTTTGTTTTAGACGCAGCTTTAATTAAAATCTGTCTTCAATTAATATATTATTCTCAATTAATAAAGATTTACATTTCTTAATTAATAAAGATCATACATTTTTTAAGTAAAAAAGTAATATATGAAATGTTATGTTAGATATAATATAATACTAACATAATACGAACTGGATCGATTTGTGTCATTTTAATAATTATTGTAAACTATTCATCAAATCAGTGTAACTTGTGAAAGATTATTAATTGTTTTTTTTCTTCCTTCAGATGTCGGGTTTCGTGCTAATGTCCTTAGGAGGATTATTATTAGCCGACAATGAACGGATTTTATTATCGCGCCTGTTAGGACCTGGTGATATTCATCCTGATCAACCGCTCTTTTATTATTTGGCATTCGCTATAGTTACATTAGGATTTCTTATTGCTATTACTGGACTTCTCGGATGCTGGGCGGCTTGTCTCTTTAATCGTTGCATTACAATCTCCGTAAGAACTGTTTTTAAATATTTCAAATATTTTAATAGATCACATATATTTATACATTTTAATTAATACTTTAAATACAATTTATAAAAACATTTTAAATAAAACGTTTATAACAATATTTTAAATATAAAATTTACAAATACAAAATAATCTTTAAAAGCAATACGTTATTATTTTCGTTTAGACTGATATTCGATAAAAATAAAATATATACAAAATTTATATCTAAAATATTGTTTAATTTTTGTAATTTTTTGTCGCAAATTCTTTTCCTAGCAACAAATTTAATGGTATTTTAGGTAATAAAACGTACAAAAATAACTTACATATATTGTGTGATGTCGTATTCACATATTTGATTAGAAAAAAATTACTTGCTTAAAGTCTCTTTGTTTAAGTATCGCAAGTACATGTGTTTAAATGCATCAATCAGTTGGGTTTCATGCGCGACGTTCTCTCATGAATCTAACTACAATGTTGCTCGTCAAGCCTATCTGAAACACCAGATTTCCTACTTTGAGTTCGGTCATGCATCGTTGCCCGGAAACGGATCTGCTTGTATGCAGACACGCGCGTAAATAAAAGGAGGGCGCGTTCGAACGCCGCGTAAAAACACTAATTATTCGCTCGTGGCTCGGACAAATGAGAGTCAGCTCGCCGAGGAAATGAATGCTACCATTTTTCACCATTTTTAACACTATTTAAACACCAGTTGTAAAACGTGAAATTGAATGTATACAAGGAAAACATATTAGTATTATTTTAATAAAAATAAAATATATACAAAATTTGTATCTAAATATTGTTCAATTTTTATAACTTCTTGTCGCAATTGTCGCAATTCTTTTCCTAGCGACAAATTTAATGGTATATGAGGTAATAAAATGTATTTAAAAAAACTGCTTTTTTTAACGTAATATTAAATTAGAAAATTAATTGAATACGTAAGAAGAAATATTGTTTGAAATAGATGTATGTTATAATTTATAATATAACGCACAAAATTGCGAATATAAGTAGCTCGGGATCGATCTTTTGTTTTTATGCTTTCCAGTATCTCTTAACAATAATATTGTTGCTGCTCGGTGAGTGCACCGTGTGCATTATCGCTGTTTTCTGGCCTCATATACTGGGGATCGACGTAAGACCGGCACGATTGATACGCGCTTTGCAACGCAGTTATGCCGTACCTGGACGCGAGCAATTTACGGCTGCACTCGATCTTGCACAAACAATAGTAAGTTTGTCATCTATTGAATTTAAGAGTAAAGATATAATGTTAACATATGTTTTCTATCGTATTATTTTTCTATTAAATATTCAGGAGCATTAAATCGTTTACAGCAGTATTCCAGATAAATTACTATAAAATGAAGACTTTGATAAGTAAAAGTCTATTAAAGCTATATATTTTATTACGAAGTCTTATATTATGCAAAAAAAAAGAGTTTGTTTGGTTTTCATAAAAGTTGAAAAATATAGAAAAATAAAGAAAAAGAGGAGAAAAAGAGATACCTATCACACTTGTTACTTGGCTAATATATATGTATTTAATTTATATTATTGAAATTAAAAGAGAAAACGCGCGACGTTATTATTCTGACCATTTACAGTTCACTTGTTGTGGCATAAACGGAAGCAGCAATTATGGGACGTCGTGGTGGCGACTGCAGGAAGTCGGCCGCAGAGAATTAGTGGTACCTCTCAGTTGCTGCACCCTGAATAACGCCAATGAGACGGGCTCCTTCCTCAACCCCGAACCTGCCAATCTCACTCTCTGCCAGGCTCTGAACCCTGCCGAACATCAATACGCCCGACACACTATGGTATGCGTGATAATGAGGAAGTTATTACCCCCCCTCCCCCCTCCCTTGTCATGCCGTGCCATGCAGACACGAGTGAGACGAACTTTTTGAATCTGGCTCACAAAGGATAAATGTCGAGGTCTACATAAGGCTGCGTTCGGAAACTTCACTTGAGTGCCCTAATGCGTCTCATTCTATCTCTATTGTTAGACGTTAAACAAGGATAAAATGACACTTGGATGAAGCTTTCGGACGTAGCTTAAAACGAGAACAAATACGTCTATGTAGAATATTGACACGTTATTCAAGTGCGACATTCGCATGAAGTTTTATGACGCTATTCTCGTTTCATGAGAATAGAAATCCATTTGAAAGTTTAGTACAGTCAAACGCATCCTGCGTGAACATAAACGCGATGTTACGGCAAAATAATATTTGAGAAAAACTATCGCCTCTACGTCCATAACTCCAAATTTCGATTTTTCGCGGTTTGTTCGAAAGTTTACGATAAAACCAGCATGACCTCGTATACGAATATATCATACTAGGAAAGAGAGTCGTGTGATTAATGGCTTTTGTCTCGATGAAGACCTCCATAACAAGGCTACGAGAGAATTCGTCAGAATGCGGGCAGCTGACAATGATGTTACGTTGTTATGATTTTAGTTTTGTTATATCTTGCTGCGCACATTAACGTATTTTTACCGGGCGTTTTATGCAATAAACTAATACCTATATTCAGCTATTTTTCAAGTACGCATATGAATCAATATTAGGTTATTGGAAAAATCACGACGCATTTTTCAACTCATAATTGTATATCTTCGTTAAAAATGAACGAAATTTAAATTAAAAAAAAAAGCATTTTAAAGTTTGAAGTCTCTACTTTCAAAAGCTTACTATATGTTTGAGTTTATGTGAATTTTTACATACAAAAGACTACCAGTTGAAAAAAAATTAAAAAATTTTCTTCTCATTTTGTAGGTCTGTAACGCCTAAAAAAAATTTGAGAATAATTTCGACTATCGTAAAAGCTTGCAGCTTTCCCCTGCAAAATCGTTTTTTAAAAATATTCCTATCGCGGATTAAATAAAAGGAATATTTTGACTTTAATTGCTCATAATTCCGTTAAAAAACATCGTGACGTAATTATTAAAACAGATTCTTAAAGCTGGAACTTTGATCTATCGAATGATACAATTGAATGTATATAATGTAATGATATAAATTTGAATTAAAAATATGACATGTTACGTCATGACTTTTCCGACAACCCAATATTAGTAATTTTTTTTAGCAATGATATATTTACGAAATTTTATATCAGAGTGAGTTTAATAAGATTTTTAATATAAATCTTTATAAGTACCTAAAGTATTTTTTACATACAGAGTTTACATATAAGTTTTCGACTAATGATTGATTCCAGCGCAATCGATATG